TATAACAGAGAAAACAGAGGCAAGCACTGGAATGCCTATTTTAAGTCATGTTGCCTGTTGTCTTGGCAATCAGTTAATAAACTTTGTTGCTCATTTTTTCATCACCACCTGACAACATCTCTGCAAGATTTGGTATTATTAAGGAGTCTGCTAAGACCTGCTTTACAAAGTATCAGAAAATATCTGCTGGCATTTCCATTCTAAAGCCTATTTTTCAGGGAATCATAAATCATTTATAAATTGCCCAGCAGCCGAATATATGATACACAAATACCACTGTGACAATCCATTTTCATGATAAATGCACAAAAAGAGTGTTTGGATCTGGTCATGGTCCCTGCAATGTCAATATGTACATTGTTTTTCACTACACATGGCAAAGGATTAGACCTAAAATTCCTCAAGTGAAAACACGTGCATGCTTTGACAGAAATTCTCTTGCATGTATCTTCTTGGACAGTGCGTTCCATATTTTCTCAAGCTGATTTGAGAAGCATACAAGCATATACTGAATTGGCCCTGCAATTACCATAATAAACATTATAATCAAAAAAATTTCATCCATTAGTCAGACCTCACTATACTAAGAGCTGTGCAGACATACTAAATGACTCTCAAGAGTAAACTGTCCCTATGTTTGAGTTGAAAAAAGTTTACTCTCAGAAGACTGAAAAAAAGGCTGCTTAATTAAATCCCACAGACTATCCCATCATCTTGGATGAATACTTTCCTTGGGCAAGAGGTCACCTAGTTCTTCAAATTCCAGAGAATTTCTGAGTTTAAGAGAATACATGTTTACAATCTTCTTTATTATAAATGCTGCCAGTTTCCCTAATTAAACACACGAAATTCAACATTTGTTGAACAGAAATCAAAAAATCTAAAATTTTATTGATGAATGGCAAGAAAAAAAATCCCTCCTTCCTATCAAACAGTACAGAAGACATAAAGGAGCCTCATGAAGATTCTACATCAGACAACCACAGAGAGAATAGAGAAACTAAAATATTGTCCTCTGATCTGGGTAGTTGAATTCTGAAGGTATCAGTGGGCTTATCCACAAAATCTGAGAAATTAAATTGGTCAAGAGGGCTAGATTTATTCCTGGATGTTCCTTCTTCCCCAGTTTCAGGCTCCCTTAACGCTCTTTCAACACAGATTTTGGCAGCTTATTGTTTAAAGATTGAATAGTGCTGGAAAAGAATGTTTTACTCTCTATAGATATGGAAAAATCTGCTATAACCTATGCTGCAAGAGGAAGAATTAGTAACACAAGACATTTGGTACATTATTCAAGACCATCAGGTCAATGATATGCTAGGAAGAGATCAAGACCTCTTTGTCAACAGTATATAGCAATTGACCTTAGGAATGTGATGCAGTAGTATGATACAATATTTCATACCCCTTTTGACCTGTCTTGGTTTTGGCTGGGATAGAGTTATTTTTTCTTTCTTTCTTAGTAGCTGCTACAATGCTGTTTTTGGGATTTGGTATGAGAATAATGTTGATAACACACTAATCTTTTGGTTGTTGCTAAGTAGTGCTTACCTGAAGTCAAGGACTTTTCAGTGTCTCATGCTCTGCCAGTGAAGAGATACACAAAAAAGCTGGGGGGCAGCATAGCCAGGACAGCCCAAACTGGCCAAAGAAATATTTCACATCATAGAATGTCATGCTCAGTATATAAACTGTGGGAGTTACCCAGAATGGGTGTCAATAACAGTTCAGAGATGGGTTTGGCATCAGTCAGTAGGTGGTAAGCAATTGTTTTGTGCATCACTTGTTTTTCTTGGGTTTTATCTGTCTCCCTCTCCTTTTTATTAACATTATGATGATGATGATTATTATTATTAATAAAAGTTGTTTCAATTATTAAACTGTTCTTATATCAACCTACAGGTTTTACTTTTTTGTTCCTCATCATCCCACCAGGATGGGAGGTAAGTTAGAGAGTGGCCGTGTAGTACTTAATTGCTCCTTGGGGTTAAACCATGACATCACCATACTTTAAAGATGTTCCTGAAGTCGGAATTTATAACATTCATCAATACTAGGTTGTACCAGTCAGTGTGCACATGGCCACAATAATTACACCATTAAAAGCAACCTATAATTATTGGAGAAAGAGATATATTGTAATACAAAAACCAAGCTTAATCTCTCATATACTCTCTAACCATTTGCGTTAAAGTAATGACATGTTAGAAAACGTACCAAATATATAGTTTCCATGCACTGAGAATAAAATGAAATTTTACACTTCACAAAATTGTTGGGTTTTTAAATTTATTTTATTAACCCACTAAAGGAAGGACAGTCTTGAAGAAAACGCAGCAGAAGATGTAGCCTTTAAAATTCTAGTTTCTTCATACAAGCCAAAAAAAGTTCCTGGGAGTCAAGTTAGACCCTCTACCCTTCAGCTTTTGCATACCAAGAAAAAGAGTCTAAGCCCTTTAGGAACAAACACAGAGTTTGAGCCATGCTCGTACAACAGCCATTATGCCATTTTTGGCTCTATCAAACTGTAGAGCTAACCTTTCAGTTATTTTCTGTATGTGCTTTACCTACCACAGTGAGGAACAGCTTCAGTCTCCAGGACTACTAGATTGATGCTACACAAACAAAGTGTTCAGTCAAAAAGTGAGTTTCACTTAACTTTAAAAGTGGCCTAAAACTAACATCTACTGCCAAAATAATCGTGGTGCCATACATGAAGCTAACCTAAAAGGCTGATTATTTAAATCTTTCAGACATTTCCTGTTGTCAGAAAGTAAAAATTAACTATAATTTTCAGGCTTTATTTTAAACAAAGAAAAAAAAAATTCATTGTAGAGAATCACAAATGAAAGAGAACCATCCAATACCTGAGTGTATTTGTTAATTCTGCTCATTAAAAAAACATACAAAACTTTGACCAACATTTCCAAAAACTCACCTTGAATTTCAGGAGAGAATCGAGCTGAATGGCGAGACACAAAAAGTTTTAGTTCTTGATCCAAGTTGCATTCAATCAAGCTTGTATCCCATGATCGGATTCCTAAAATTTAAAATGCAAGACATGTCTACCTTGATATATGAGCACTGTTTTAATTGATTATTTCTCCATTTACACTAATGACATTCGCATATTTCTAAATTCCAAAACCAACCTCTACTGAAGCATGATTTCAAAAAGTTAAGATTTCAGCTAAAGGTTAGAAGCAATTCATATTGATCAGGATGTAAGTTAGATAGGTAGACAATAGGTTAATGATTATTAGATGCTTAAGCTAGAGCTGATTGTTATATTGTTTGCCATTATGAGCTTGTTTGTAGAAGGAAATGGAGTAAGTGAACTGTTATAAGAACATATTGAAACCAGTAGAACAATGGTTAGCATCTGGGTTTTATGTCAATCATGAAGCAGGGGGCCTTGGATTGTGCCAGAGGGGCACAGACACCTGATGAAGACATTCCTGACTTCATTCATTAAGACCACTGACTCAATTCGAGACCACCGACCCAATTCAAGAGAAGAATTGTGCACACGTGAAGAACTAATAACCTCATTTTACTACAGAGCAAGGATGGGAGGTGCTGGGGTTATGCATATGTATTGTATCTAAGATCTCGGGAAATACATACAGGACAAAGAACCTTGTACAGTGCAGTCACACCTTTCAGTGACGACTCCAGTGCTGCCTGCAGGTGTTAATAAATATACCACTTTCTAACGTTGACCAGTTAGAGAGTCTTTGTCTGTGATCTTCGGTTTTAACGACTCACTACTCCTTTCAAGCCATGCAGCTATCCTTTGCAAAGTGCTGAGCACTCATGAAAAGCACTCTGGATGGGGATCAGTCACAAGCAAGAGGAAATCTGCATTTCCAAAAGATAACAATAACTCAAGGCCCCTGATTTATGACTGCTGATTCCAACATCCTAATAGCCACATTATGAGATGTCCTGGAATTTACTTTAAAATAGCAATACACTGTTTACAAAACAGAAAAGACTGAATCATTCAGGGGATACGTTACCCCTATTGCAAGACAATTGTATGAGAAAAAAAAAAAGACAACACGCAGCATGTTTTGAATTAATATTTAAATACAAAATATTAAATTGCTGACTTCTTCATTCAAAAGCTTTGAAGCATTCCATATTTCAATTAAAATGTGATTTTTTTATTAATGCAATATCAAAATTCTAGTTTTAAGACTTTAAAATGCTATGCTTGATCTTTTTTCTTAAAAAAAATAAATCTCATCTCTATTCATTACCACTTTTCCCCCAACTCCTTAGAAAGTGAGACACTTGGTACATATATAATCATAAAATGTATTTTTCTGAAATGAATTTTTAAGGATTGAAATTTTAAACCTGGCCAGGGATGTCAAGGGCAACAAGGAAAGATTCTATAGGTACATTGATGATAAAAGGAAGACTAGGGAAAGGGTGGACCCTCTCTGTAAGGAAACAGGAGACCTGGTAAACCAACATATGGAGAAGACTGAGGTACTGAATGACGGTTTTGCCTCAGTCTTCACTGACAAGTGCTTCAGCTACACTGCCTGAGTTACAGAAGGCAAAGGCAGGGACTGGGAGAATGAAGAACCAACCGCTGTAGGAGATTATCAAGTTCAGGACCATCTAAGCAACCTGAAGGTGCACAAGTCCGTGGAACCTGATGATGAGATGCATCCATGGGTCCTGAGGGAATTTGTGGATGAAGTTGCTTGTTGGGGAGGGTAGATAAATATGATTAAGAACCACAATGGTACAGCCAGGACGAATATAACGCCCCCTACTGGCTGGACAATCACCCTCACCTTCAGCGGGGTCCAAAAGCCGAATGGATTCTCCCATGTCACCCCCCAGAATGTATGGTTCACCCCACATCTGTAACCCTCCCCTGAACCATCAGGTGCCTGTGACCCCATTGGCCCAGGTCCTGTTCCAGCCCACCCTGGAGCCCCCCTTGATAAGGGGTCTCCAGGGGGCTGGACGCTCTCTTGGATCTTCCCTTCCCCTCCTGGAGAGTCCTCCGGGAGTCCCTGCTCTCCTCTCTGTCTCTCCCCTCCCCCATCACCCGAGGCCCAGCCACGTGCTGTGTCTGGCAGCTCGAGGCAGGGTCACAAATGTATCTTGAATAAACCTCTTCCCCCAAGAGCACCACAGAGATCTCGATTGAATCTGTCCGTGGAATACAAATACACGTCGTTACAGACTGGCGCCCACCTCGAATACGAACCCACGGTGACCTGCAACTGCACCCGTCTGGATGCTTTCCAGCTTTTCTACCTGTAGGACACCTTTCCATGGACACTAACTATATAACCAGGTATTTCCTCGCCATCGTGGTCGCGAGCACGGCATTCTGCTGCTAGGCAGTAACGAACCGGAGCTCTTTAAAAAGTCCCGAAGCCGTCGTACAGCTCAGCGACTCGTTACATAGTAGCGAGCTATTAGAGCCCTTATACGACTTCTGGCCATTATTCTCCGAGCACAAGAGATCGCCGCGATTCCGCGGCGACCCAAGGCTTTGTGACGAGACTTGCCGCGCCACGTGGCCACGTACACAAAGCACAGGCGAGCACTGCTTAGCACTGCCCGCGCTGAAGCTCTGGAGAAACCCCGCGGTGACCTCAGCACCGACTGCAGTAAACGTCGGAACCTGACAGAGGATCCCGCTCCTGCGACACCGAGGTGAGCCACACTGGTTTAAAAATGGGACAGTCCCACTCTGCAGCTGATAGAGATCTCTATAAGCAACTTAACCACTTATTACGTAGCCATAATAGTAATTTGCCTAAAAAGAGCTACGAAAACTCCTAGAATGGATCTTACTTAAGTTCCCATATGCCGAGCGCTCTGCTGTGTTTTGTGGAGACTTTTGGGAGTCCGTGGGACATACACTGTTTAACGACATTTCACGGCGGGACCCCTATGCTTGCGACTTATTTCCTGCTTATAAAGTGTTAGCAGAACTCTGCGCTTCTCAAAAGCCGCTAATAGCAGCCAAACCGCTCCCCGCCGTGGCTCAACTATCCCCGCCGGACTGCACCCCCACCCCGCGCTGCGGCGAGAATGCCGGCGAGGCGGCTAGCGACTCGCCGGTTTCTGAGCGAGCGGCGCTCCCTGCCGCAGCCGCCCCCCCCCCTCCCCCGCAACCCAGAACCCGCCCTTGCGGCCACCTCCTCCCCCCCTAACCACTCCGCGGACCCCGCCTCCCCCCCGCCCGGCCCCCCAGCATTGCCTGTCCCGGCTATGGTGGCTACTATAGCCGAACTTTTACAAAATCAAACAACAGCCATTTTGCAAGCACAAACCCAGTCAATGGCTATTTTACAAGCACAATTTCAAGCGTCAGCTGCGATTTTGCAAAAGCTGCAGACGCTGGCCTCCGCGGCCGCCCCCCCAACCCACCCGGAAGTCCCCTGGTCCGGCGAACACGCCGGCCATGCGCCGGCCCTGGGCTGGGCGGCCCCCACTCCCGGGGCCGCCGCCCCCCTCTCGCGCAGCCCAGACCCCGCCCCCGCGGCCGCCGCCCCCCTCCCCCGCGGTCCAGACCCCGCCCCCGCCCCCGCGGCCGCCGCCCCCCTCTCGCGCGGGCCTGACCCCGCCCCTGACTCCACCTCCTCTCCCTCGAGCGCCCCGGACCCCGCCCCTGCGGCCGCGGCACCGCCCGTCCTTCCCAGGGACGCCCCGGGGTCCGGCGCGGTACCCCTGCTGCCCGCCCGCCTCCTGCACTCGCGGCCGGACCCCCCCGGCAGACGCAAACCCGGCGCCCCCACCCCCCCATCCCCCTGCGGTGCCGCAGCCCCTGCCTCTGGCTACAGAGCCCCGGAACCCCCCAACGCCGGCACCACTTCCGGGTTTCCCAAACCCATCATCATATCCCTCCACATCTCTCCCTTCGCCGGCTCTTCAGACTGCCACAGCAACCAATGCCATAGCGACAGCATATCCTTCCACAAATCCCAGTTCCCCACAGGTGCTGCTGCCCACGACCTCCACCCCCCCTGCTCCTCTGCCTCAGCTGGCAGCAGCCCCTGCCTCCCACACTAACAGCTCCTCACCACACCCTAACGAAGACACTATGCCTCAGCAACGTGAACGCAACATTGTAACTGCAGCTTCGACAAACAAAGGACAGACAGAGAACTATGTTACCCCTGCAAACTCTAACCTTTCTATCCCAGTCTCACCAAATTCTCAACAAAGTGCCAGCAATCTTCAACTGAAAAACTGCCCTGAAATCAAATATAATAGCTGCAAAGACAACATTCTGCAACCCCAACCCTTCCAAGTAGTACACAGCCAGCGAACAGCTGTCCCCTCTCAGGAGGTGAAAGAAGTCCTACCAGTACTCAAGGACAGTGGTATCTCCTTTTCCTATCTTACACCACAGTTAAAAACTACCATAGAAAATACACGCCAAACCCTAAAACACATCTTACATCTAAAGAAAGGGGGAGTAGATCAGGCTACACCTCAAAAGAGGTTGAATAAGGCTCTATATGCTCACAATTTTCTAAGTAGCTCTGCAGGAGAGCCTCGCCTCCAAATTTATAGACATTTCCTGAACACAAAAAAAGTAAAAATAAAAGGGCACCCCCCAGCTTTACTCAAAATCTTAGATTCAGGACATATACAAAGTCCACACAATCTAACGTGGGGGAAAGGTTTTTCTTGTGTTTCCACAGGTGGACGACTTAAGTGGGTCCCAGGAAAGAACGTGAAGCCTTACCAATGCTCCGAAATCTGCTGACACCCCCACACCAGACAGTTCCTCTACAAGCACAAGCCAAGAAGCAAGAACCCAGACCTGAACCACGCTGCGTCATCGAGAGAAAAATGGACTTTCTATCGTTTAATGCGTGCATATTGTTTTTGTTCTTCTGTTTCAGTTTTTATATTGAAGTTTTACTTATAATTCAACCAAAGACAAATGCCGAGTAGCTTTAGCCAAGCCTGCAAGCTCTAAGACCACCTATATATCTAACACAAACCCTAACAAACCTTTTTCAACCCGTTTAATTATAAGACCTTTTCCAAAAAAAAAAAAAAAAAAAAAAAAAAAAAATTCTGACAATGCCTCCCCTACTATAATCAGTGATTTAATAACAATAAGGTCATCTCAGCTATACAGTTTACTTAATAGTTTAAGCCTTGCACCTTGGCTAAAGGAACTCTGTAAAATAAGCTAGACTGTTCCAGTAGCAATAAGTATAGTTCTAGTAACAATACCCTGTACACCTCCAAGTGTGCAGAAAATAGTTGTTAAATCAATATTTAATATTTCAAATGGTTCAGTGAAAAAGGGGGAGATGTTGGGGAGGGTAGATAAATATGATTAAGAACCACAATGGTACAGCCAGGACGAATATAACGCCCCCTACTGGCTGGACAATCACCCTCACCTTCAGCGGGGTCCAAAAGCCGAATGGATTCTCCCATGTCACCCCCCAGAATGTATGGTTCACCCCACATCTGTAACCCTCCCCTGAACCATCAGGTGCCTGTGACCCCATTGGCCCAGGTCCTGTTCCAGCCCACCCTGGAGCCCCCCTTGATAAGGGGTCTCCAGGGGGCTGGACGCTCTCTTGGATCTTCCCTTCCCCTCCTGGAGAGTCCTCCGGGAGTCCCTGCTCTCCTCTCTGTCTCTCCCCTCCCCCATCACCCGAGGCCCAGCCACGTGCTGTGTCTGGCAGCTCGAGGCAGGGTCACAATGTATCCTGAATAAACCTCATCCTCCAAGAGCAACCACAGAGATCTCGATTGAATCTGTCCGTGGAATACAAATACATGTCGTTACAGTTGCTAAGCCACAACCCATCATATTTGAGAAGTCCGGTGAAGTTCCCACTGACTGAATAAAGGGGAAACATAATCCCCAATTTTAAAAAGGGAAATAAGGAAGACCTGAGGAATTACAGGCCAGTCAGTCTCTACTCAGTGCTCAGCAGGATCATGAAGATCCTCCTGGAAACTATGCTAAGGCACATGGAAAATAAGATGACTGGTGACAGCCAAAATGGCTTCACCAAAGGCAAATAATGTCTGACAAATTTGGTGGCCTTCTGTGATGGGGTTACAGTGCTGATGGATAAAGGAAGAACAACTGACTTTACCTGGACTTGTGCAAAGCATTTGACACTATCTGATGCAACATCCTTGTCTCTAAACTGTAGAGACGTGAATTTGACAGATGGACCACTTGGTGAATAATGAATTGGCTGAATGGTTGCACTCAAAGAGTTGTGGTCAATGGCTCAATGTCCAGTGGAGACCAGTGACAAGTGGCATTCCCCAGGAGTTGGTACTGGGACCGGCGTTGTTTAACATCTTTGTCAGTGACGTGGACAGTGGGACAGAATGCACCCTCAGCAAGCTTGTCAATGACATGAAGTTGTGTGGTACAGTTGACACACTGGAGAAATGGGATGGCATCCAGAGGGACCTTAACAGGGTTGAAATGTGGGCCTGTGCAAAACTCATGAAATTCAAGAAGGCAAAGTGCAAGGTCCTGCACATGGGTCAGGGTAATTCCAAGCAGAAATACAGGCTAGGCAGATAATGAGTTGAGAGCAGCCCTGAGGAGAAAGACTTGGGAATGATGGTTAATGAGAAGCTCAGGACTTAGCAGGGCTGATTGATAGAGCTTTAAAATAGATTGGAAGGGGGGAAAGGGACAAAACCAGGCTTGCCAGTGATAAGCAATGGGACATGCCAAAATTTGAGGGACTGAGTACTAGTGAGATCCTTCATTCTGCTCCACGAGTTGTTGGCTACACAGAACTGCACTTGAAATGTTTCTACACCACCATGAACAGCATGAGGAACAAGCAAGAGTGTGGGTTTCAGATTCAGTCAAAGAAAGAAACTGATAATTTCTAGCCAGGAAGAAGCCTGGGAAAGAGCTGGAGAAGAATGTAAACAATTCTTTATCTCTCTTGTTTTTCACATTGTTTATATTTAAGTTCTATCACTGTGCATCAAGGACTTTGCACCAATGGTGTAGGTTGTTTTCACTTCAGAACCAATGGAGTTGGTCCTCGTGAAGCTCTGTATACAAGAGCGGTGTATTTTGAATAAATTGGAGTTTTACTCTCAGCAGCCTTCTGAGTCAGTCTCTTCATTCCCGTCCTGTCTCGACAGCGACACAAGAGGAGCTTGAAGCCTTGGTCCAGTCCTAGAGATATGACACCACTGGCATAAGCAAAATCTGGTGGGATGGGTCTTGTGATTGGTGTGCCCTGATGGATGGTTACAGTATCTTCAGGAGGAATAGGCAGGGCAGGCAAGGTGGGGGAGGGGCATTTTATGTAATGGATGGGCTGGAATGTATGGATGTTGGGAGGAATGGGTTAAAAGCAGAAGATTGGTAAAGCAGATTGTAAATAGCTCAAGTGACCTTGCAGCTGGGAATTTCTCTAGATAAGCCTGTATGAAAAGCAGGCCAGTGATCCTCTAGCATGGACCAAGTTTAATGTTGCCTGCATCTCCACTTGAGTGCTTCTGCCTGGGTTTTGCTTTGGGGATCACCCAGTCAGTGAGATAACAGAAATAAATTGATTCTTTGTGTTCTAGCCATGAGTTTTTTGTTGTTCTGGCTGCCTGCCTGTGTCAACTCACACAACAGAGCTTGCAGTTGGTAATGGCATGGTTGAGAGCCTCTGGGTAAGGATTAAGGGACAAACAAATATAGTGGATGTCATCATGGGAGTCTACTATAGGCCACCCAGCCAAGACCACAAAACCAATTAATTAGTCTAGTCATTAGTGGGGTTTTGCAGGACTCTATCTTTGGCCAGTGCTCTTAATTGCCTTCATAAATACTAAGTTTTCCAATGACACTGAATTGGGAGGAGCTGCTGACTCCCTTGAAGGCAGAGAGGCCCTGCAGAGGAACTGTAACAAATTAGAGGGCTGGGCAATCCCCAGCATTTAACAAAGATGAGTGCCAGATTCTGCAGCTGGGATGGGACAACCCTGGATATCTGTACAGACTGGGGAACGAGAGGCTAGAGAGCAATCCTGCAGAAAGGCATCTGGGGGTCCTGGTTGATGGCAAGTTGAATGTGTTTCAACAGTGTGCCCTGACAGCCAGGAGAGACAACCATATTCTAGGATGTATCAAGCACAGCATTGCCAGACAGTCAAGGGAGGTGATGGTCCCATTCTACTCTGCTTTAGTGAGGCCTTACCTTGAATATTGTGTGCAGCTCTGGTGACTGCAATATAAGAAAGATATTAAACTATTAGCATCCAAACCAGGGCAATAAAAATGGTGAAGGACCTTGAGGGGAAGCCATATGAGGGGTGGCTCAGGTAACTTGGTCTGTTCAGCCTGGAGGAGACTGAGGGGAGTCATTGCAGTCTACAACTTCCTTATGAAGGGAAGAGAAGGGGCAGACATTGATCTCTTCTCAGTGGTGACCAGTGACAGGACCTGAGGACCTGAGGGAATGGCCTGAGGTTGTGTCAGGGGAGGTTTAGGTTTGATATTAGAAAAAGATTCTTCACCCAGAGGATGATTGGGAACTGGAACAGGCACCCCAAGGGAGTAGACACAGCACCAAGCGTGACAGAGTTTGGACAACACTCTTGGGCACATTATGCGACTCTTGGGGATGGTGCTGCGTAGGGCTGGGAGTTGGACTCGGTGATCCTTGTAGCTCACTTCCAATTCAGCTTATTCTGTGCTTCTGTGAGTCTTGTCATCCATGTGCTTAGAGATGGCCTCCAAAATGAGGTGTTCCAACACCTTTCCAGGGATCGATGTGAGGCTGACTGGCCGGTAGTTCTGTGGGTACTCTTTCTTGCCCTTTTTGAAGACAGGGGTGACATTTGCTTTCTTTCAGTCCTCAGGCACTTCTCCTGATCGTCATGACCTTTCAAATATGATTGTGAATGTCCTAGCTATGGGATCCACCAGCTCTCTCAGCACTTGTAGATGCATCCTGTCAGGGCCCATGGAGTTGTGGATGACAAGCTTGCATAAGTGTTCTCTAATCAAATCCCCCTTGACCCAAGAGTCTTTCTTCCAAGATTCACAGAATCACAGAATGGTTTGGATTGGAAGGGACCTTAAAGATCATCTAGTTCCAAGCCCTCTGCAATAGGCAGGGACACCTTCCACTAGACCAGGTTGATCAGAGCTCCATCTAGCCTGGCCTCCAGAGATGTGGCATCCACAACTTCTTTGGGCAGCCTGTTCCAGTGCCTTATTGTCCTGTCACTCCATGCTCTTGTAAATAGTCTCTCTCAATCTTTCTTGTAGGCTCCCTTCAGGTACTGTAAGGGCACAATTAGGTCACCCTGAAGCCTCCTCTTTTCTGGGCTGAACAATCCAAATTCTCTCAGCCTTTCCTTGTAGGAAAGGTGTCGCTATAGGACATGAGAAAGCACAACGCGAGCTACTTGCTACTTTGTAAGGTAAAAGAGAAAGTTTATTTTCTGACTCTAACTTTTATACTTTTCTAAAGGTGACAGTGGATTGGAGAGTGAATGGGCCACCTCTCCAAAGACATTGGACAAACCACTAGTATATCAAGTCTCTCCACCCCCATGAAGGAATGCAAAACAACACGTTATTTACAGAAACTGTGTGGGAAAGTTTCCCAATAGAATGTAAACTCAGAAGGCTTTAGAAAAACTCAAGAATCAGGGTGACAGAAAGGTGCTCCATACCTCTTATCATCTTGGTGCTTGTCCTCTGGACTCACTCCAACAGGTCGATGTCCTTCCTGTACTGGGCACCCCAGAGCTGGATGCAGTACTCCAGGTGGCGTCTCATGAGAGCAGAGGGGCAGAATCAAGTCCCTTAACCTGCTATCCATGCTGCTTTGGATGCAGCCCAGGATACAATTTGCTTTCTGGGCTATGAGCACACACTGTTGGCTCATGTCCAGCCTCTCATTCACCAGCACCTCCCAAGTCC